ATTTTGTCTCTTTAAACTTATTGTTAGGATTTATTTTTAAAATTTTTTTGAAAAATAAAATTAATTTTTGTAAAATATTTGTTCTATAGTAGGCTACAGTACTTGAATTACTAAGCATAGTGCTAAACGTATGGATTCCGGTTCTTAAACAATAGCACTAACATTCCCAAGTAGGCGGGCTTAAACTTTGACGTCACTCCTTGATATACGATTTCTGTCTTGACTTTTTTAAGTTTATGCAACATATTTTCTGTTATTTAAAATAGTTCATACCAGTAAGAACATTGTCTATGTATTATTACTTGAAGAAACTAGTCGACACCTAAAAAAGAAGCTCAATAGGATTAATGATTTTAACGAATTTAACCAAAGTTTGAATATAATGTTGAGCTTCTATAAAATATTGATTAACCTTTCAAAAAACATTTAAATTTTTTGATAATTTACCCTTCAGTGATATAGTTTCAAAATGCAAATCGGTAGTCCATCTATCAAACTGAATACAATATTGTCACTAAGCTTACTAAACAATCTTTAGTACCCCTCAAACCCCGTTTAAGCCGTGGTAGTTGTTTACAAACAACCCAAGTACACCTGACCATTCGGCCAGCCACTCTCCACCTGCAAGACCATGATCTAGGAAGCCATTATTATGACGTAATGCTTTCATTTTTCATGAAGCACTGCTCGGAGTGTTACGGTTTTTGTGTCTCGGCGAAAGCCTCGGATATCCAGCAGATTATTGCCGTTTTAGTGTCAAAATTGCTTCCCCCGTTTAGCGCCGTTCACAAACAATACCCGTTAACGGTAATGCCCGCTGAGATGCTTTGCTGTAGACTTCCTCTAACTCCGCCGCTCTAGGACAGTGGCTACTCTTGCCAAGTGGTTGCTAAACTACAATGTAGAACTGTACGACATGAATGACCAATAGTAACTAAAAGAACGTATTTTTAACCTTTGTAAAGTTGTTACTAGGGCACAAAAGTATGCAAACTAGTCTTCAAACACTTTTCCAGAAAGGCTTCTTTTATACCAGCGTTAAAGTCTCTAGAATTAACAATCGTAAATAGTAGTTAAAATAGATTGTTGTATATTTAATGTAAATTGAAAGTAAAAGACTAAACGATCCAAAACCTAGATTTTCCAATGATCATAATGTTCTTTTCATATTAAAAAAACTCTTTAAAGTATTTAAGTGTCTAATATAATCAATGCATAGCATGTCCAATATAATAATACTCCTGGCATTCATACAGACTGCATCTATGTTATTTATATTTTTTAAGTTAGCTTAATGTTTCTAATTTAGCCTAAGAACATTAAACTATGAGTCAACTGTTGTTATGCTTATTGTAATTTCCAAGTCTCTAGAATAGATTCTGAAATTATGTGATTTTAAATATTATTAATATGTGTCTCTTTTCCAGGCGTTAAAAACCATAGCTATTCTAGTCGCAGTATTATGCTTACACAAAGCAACCTCAGACCCTATACCTGAAGTGTAAGTATATCTTTGTATTGTATTTACTAACATCTACTGAGCTTTAAATGAAAAACATATTGCATAACATTTTTGATAGACCAATACACGCCATGGTCTTTTTTTCTTCTACAAAAAATGAAATTTTGTAACGAATTAGTTCTATCTATGGTTATATTAGAGGTAATGCAGAGCTATAAGTAAACGGACCCAAATTTTAAGACAGCTCGTTGATGTAGTGAGTGCAAGTGTGTAAATCCTTTTTAATTTGATTTTACATCTTAAAATTTGATCGCAAACGTTCCTGCCCGTATAAGCTTCTGTGAACTGTTAGTAAATCCGAATGATGTGTTGCCAATTAGCCTATATTAATCTAAACTACATTCAATTTTGGTTTCCCATACTACTTTTTCCTTCTATGCCTACTAATCTAGTGAAAGAAAATTACTCAAGACGAGTTGGTAGGAACTGAAACTGACAGAGTAAACAATTTAAGGGGATATGCTAAGTACTTTAAGAACATCAAAAATGATATATGTATTAACTGTCGAACACAATTTGGTTTATTTTCGATCTATATATTACATATTCATTGCAGTTGATCAGTGGCTAAACTTTCAAATGTATTTGTTTTTCTTGCAGACCTGTGATAGATGCTGTTCCAGCTGAAGATCAAAAGAGCGAACCCTCGTCAGATGTCGCGGTGGTGGCGGTGCCACTTGAGGCGGAGAGGAGGCAGGACGATGATGATCTGAAAGCGAGCGAAGCTGTGACCCACCACCATTACCACTCGGGGCATGTTGACCACGTGCACAAGCATGAGGGCCATGCAGCTCATGATCACAAACATCACGGGCATGCCGAGCACGGGCATAAACATCACGGTCACCACGAGCATGGGCATAAGCACCACGGTCACGCTGAACACGGACACAAGCACCACGGAGAGTTCGGGCATGGACACAAACATCAAGGTCATGCTGAACACGGGCACCACCATGGCGGAGAGTTCGGTCATGGGCACAAACATCACGGGCACGCTGAACACGGACACAAGCATCACGGAGAATTCGGTCACGGGCATAAGCACCACGGACACGCGGCTCATGACCACAAGCATCACGGACATGCCGAGCATGCGCATCATCACGGAGGAGAGTTTGGACACGGGCATAAACACCACGGTGAGTTTGGACACGGGCACAAGCATCACGGTGAGTTTGGTCATGGACACAAACATCACGGACACGCCGACCACGCTCATCATCACGGAGGACACTTCGGACATGGACACAAGCACTCTGGGCACGCATCTCACGGGCACAAACATCACGGAGAGTTCGGCCACGGCCACAAGCATCACGGACATGCTGACCACGCTCACCACCACGGAGGTGAATTCGGACACGGACACAAACACCACGGAGAGTTCGGTCACGGGCATCATCACGATGGACACTTTGGTCACGGCCACAAGCACTCTGGACACGCGTCCCATGGACACAAGCATCACGGAGAGTTCGGCCACGGCCACAAGCACCACGGACATGCTGACCACGCTCACCACCACGGAGGTGAATTTGGACACGGACACAAACATTCCGGACACGCCGAACACGGGCACCACCACGGTGGTAGCTTTGGTCATGGACACAAACATCACGGTTCTGCCGACCACGCTCATCATCACGGGGGTAGCTTTGGGCACGGTCACAAACATTCCGGGCACGCTGAGCACGGGCACCACCACGACGGGCACTTCGGTCACGGACACAAACACCACGGATCTGCCAGTCACGGCCACAAGCACCACGGACACGCTTCCCACGACCACCACCACGCTGGCCATGGTGCTCACGGACATCACCACTCCACCCCTGACGACGAGCACGGTGGAAGCCACGACTTTGACGATGTTACTTTCTACGCTAACGCTCGTATCATCGACGACGCTGCAGGCCAGGTGTTCGCTATCCCCGCCGAGGCTCAGACCCCTGTAGTAGCGGTCCCTGCCGAGCCTCTGGTGGAGCTCCAACAACAGCCGATAGTCCAGCTGGTCCAAGAACACCCCTAGAAGTCAATTCATAGCTGCCCACCAAGTCACTGCTGTAGTAACTTATTTATTTGTTCGCGCCCTGTCGCTGCTACCTTGTTTACCAGTTTGTTACCTATTTATTGTTGAAATTGACTGATGCATGTTTTGTACTTTTATACGTGTAATTTGAGTTACTGTGTGTATCATTGTTGTAATATTTGTTAATAAATTATTATAAACTTTATATAGCCTTTTTTTCTCTGTTTGAACTTCCTCAAGAGTACAATTTTAATGTAGACTGCATTTGGAATATATGAGTGTTTTGTGATATAAATATCCTTAAGGTCAAATCTATATTGAAAAAAGCAACCATCACAGATTCATTTTCGGTACATACAAAACCAACCATCTAAGGTTGCAGGCTATACATTTAACAAAAGTAAAATAATAATGCCAGTATGAAACAGTTTCGTTAAGTTTATTTCAATATTAACTATAATTAAGACTACTATGGTATATAAAAAGATAAATATACAACATAAATGAAAACTCTATGTTTCAGAAAACTGAACAAGCAAAATGCAACATTTGAATTTAACTGTTAGACTTATGAGTACGGTAACATTTTTGCAACTGAAACTTCAAAATTCATTTTAGGGTACCATTTAATAGAAGAAAATAATACACATGAAAATCGTCCTATACTTTTAAGTGTTCCCTAAGACCAATTGAAACAAGTCATCTCAATAAACACAACAGTTACCGTGCATCATATTCGGCTTAGAATACTCACCTCAGTGTGTGTCTCTGTCTTAAGGAGTTGTTTGATTTTGCAACTAGAATCTTCCCAAAACTCAGTGAAAACTAAAGAAAGTAAGATGATTCGACGAATACAAAATACGAGAGTTACTTTTGCATTGGTCCAGGAAACAACACCATGATAAACTCGTCAGATGATAAATTAATTGTATACTAATTTGTAAAAATGTCCAAGCAAACAACAAAACAGCGTGTGACTTATCCTGGTAGCAGTGGGAGCCAGGTGCCATATCCAATCATGCATTACGTCCGTAGCTATTGCGCCGCGTGTCGTGTTGGCTGCTCACTTATACACGCTTTCCCCGACCATGACGACTGAGTCACATTCGGCGAAACAAAAACTACATATGTCTGCCTCAGACAATACTGTGTAATGGGCGAGAACTGGGCCAAAATGTGGGGTAAATGACCTACGGTTTAGAGTTATCAATATATACCTCGTCCGCCAAAGAAGTTGAAACATTGATCAATTAATATCAAACATCAGATTGAAGAGAGTCAGCTGACAAATTTGTTGTCCTCAAACACACATGACAGACATAGCACATAACTCAGTGAACATTTAATGGTACAGTATTCCTTTGACACCTCTATTGGACTGAAAACGAACAAGGCACGTTAACAAAATAGGCTACATATTTCGATTTCTCAGTCTTGGGGGCAAGAATGCTCAAGTCCATCTTGGACAGTAAAGTGGTACCAAGTAGTTTCAACTCTCAAGTTGTGAGATTAACTATTGGTATAAGAAAATGATGATTTTAAATTAAAACTAAGCTTATTCAGAGTCACTGGGGAAAGCATCACTGACTATGAATGCAGTGATAAACAACAGTATGTAATAATAACGCTTTAACTTCGGGACTAAATTAATAATTATCGATTGATGATTTGAGTATATTGTAAAAAAGTTCTTTGAGGACTTCCACATCAATCGGTGGAGAAATAATTATTGTAAAAATGCATTCCTAATCGGAATTTAAGCACAGTTTAAACACACTTCTTAGATTAGTTATCGTTATAGACAAGTTAAACTCAATTTTAATAGTTCGGCTCGTACCTTACATTTTCTACGAGTGTCGTTAACACTATTTCCCTACGACCGTTTTATAAAGTAGCCGTTTCAGTTCAGTTCTTAGAATTGAAAAGTTTAATATAACAGCATTGTTTACTTTCATAACAGCATAGTTTTACTCATAACAACACGGGTAATGGACCAATGAGATTCAAGGATTGAGAGAGAAGTAAAATTGTAATGATGCGAACTTAAACTAATCAGCTGTCCAGGCCAATTTAATTGTTGATTGGTGCAATTAGTGTTTGGTGCATGTTTCGTTGTATCTGCATCACTGTCAGAGGCTATAAAAGAACACATGACCTCTCTTAAAAGTGATTAGTAGTGATTGTTAGTAATTAAAACATTTACTAATGGTTGGGGGAAAGGATTACAAAAAAAACCCATAAACACTATAAACACTAAACCCACTGCACTTAAGCAATTATTTAAAAGATGCTTGGTCTAAAAGATGGGGGTTAATCCAAGAATTCAATCTGTGAGAATCATTTTCCCAAATGTCATTACTTTTAAAATATTTTTTTATTATTATTTATTAGTTTCATTAAATTGTTATTATTAATCAGTTTTGTACAAGTGCTAACCAGGTACGCCAGCCGCAACAGACGGGCTTTTTGTCGATAGTTGTTAGTGCTAAGAAGTTATTTTTGTTCACTTATTTGTAAATAAAAGCACTTTTTCATTTCATTCATTTCATTTCATTTCATTTCATTTCATTTCATTTCATTTCATTTCATTTCATTTCATTTCATTTCATTTCATTTCATTTCATTTCATTTCATTTCATTTCATTTCATTTCATTTCATTTCATTTCATTTCATTTCATTTCATTTCATTTCATTTCATTTCATTTCATTTCATTTCATTTCATTTCATTTCATTTCATTTCATTTCATTTCATTTCATTTCATTTCATTTCATTTCATTTCATTTCATTTCATTTCATTTCATTTCATTTCATTTCATTTCATTTCATTTCATTTCATTTCATTTCATTTCATTTCATTTCATTTCATTTCATTTCATTTCATTTCATTTCATTTCATTTCATTTCATTTCATTTCATTTCATTTCATTTCATTTCATTTCATTTCATTTCATTTCATTTCATTTCACTAAACCCACTGAAAGGATTATAGTAATTAAAACAGTTTCGTAGGTAAAGTAGTGTACGCAACTCGCGTACCTAAATACTTTTACATTTACTGTTTTGCCCTCTGGTATTATAAGCTAAGAGTAAAGCAACTTCGTAAGATTTTTTCCATATTATGAGATAACCCTAATTTATATTTTTTACATATTTATAGCTGTGTTTACACTACTAATGAAAGAATCGTTTCAGGTGTTGGCTGCACTGGTTAGCCTGTGTACAGCTGGTGCCGTGCAACTTGTTTCCCCCAATGGCGGACAGTAAGTATAAACAAACTTGTAAAAATGGTACTTTAGAGGTGTAGGGGTTTGTTTCATCCGCATACAATTTGTAATATTCGCTTATTTATGTAAAAACTAACTCAGACTTTGTCTAGCCTATAACACATTGCAGAAGCCTGGATCAATAAAAAACAATTGAGAACATGTGATGAGAACTTTCTGACATTTTTAGTTGACACAAAGCAAAGACATTCTGAACATAATCTGAACATACATAAATGTTTCTAAGATAGTTTTCACAGTTCTGTACATTTTATGTGTACCTGACACATAAATGGTTGGATATATATCTATATTTTAATTTGGTTTAAATTGTTACTGGGTGGTAATTTTGTTCTGAACAGAGGCATTGATTGTACCTGGCTCTTCCAGCCAGGAGGGAATAGAGTTTCCGAGGAATGTGCATAAAATGAATAACCGCGTTCACTGTAGGTTTTCCCTATGCAGCTAGTTTTGTAAAAAAAATTATGTGTCCTATTTTTAACTTAACTATTGAAATCTGTTTACGTAATGTACCATTACTCTGTAATAGGCAATTAATACGTTTAACTTCTTAGTAACAAAAACTAAATGTTGTTGGGAGTGCAAACCAACGGTTTTACTTTGTTGTAACAATTTAGAAAGAATCAGATGATTTAAAGAAATAAAAATAAACCATAACAATTGGTTTCCCAGCAATAACAAAATATCACAGTTAATTATACAAAAATAATAGCTCAGCTGCATGTGTTTTTATATTTAAAAGCTAGGTGTTATTTGATTTCATTAAATTTCCCACATTTTGTTATTCTTGTGTTTATTTTGAAACTACTGTTTTTAATGTAATTTGACGTCAAAGACATTAGATGGTCGCCATTTTGAAACAGCTTTAGTCAACGAAATTAAATTTTGCATGCTTGAGTATCACAGAGAGATTAACAAATTTGTCTAATTTGAAGTTTGTTCCTTAATTCAAACTATAGTTAGTTTATTTATAAAAAAACACATAGAGACGGACATCCGGAAAACGAGGCTCCGGCGACCCATGTTTTTAATGTAAAATATTCTTGTACTAACCCATGGAACAATCCTGCGAAGTTTTTCCAGAGAGTTCACAAACAACCTGTATAATAAGTAAATAAATTTGCTTCACAGGATCCATAAGGGAAATCTTAACTTTCAATATTTAAAATTGAAACTACATCAACCACTCAGATATTGCTTATATGTAGACTGATTTGCAGCAAACAATTACATTTTGAATATGTTTTCATAAAGGGGATATTGTACCACAGTTTAGACAATAGACAATATTCTTTATCTACATAATAATTGAGAACAGCATAGCTTCATAGGATATTTACAGGTGGTTTACCACTTTTTATGAGTTAGTTATTAATGGATGTAAAGTAGGTAATGCAATTCACTAAATTGTTCACCTTTTGACTTGACCAGTGAATCTATTTAGCGGTTTATAAAACCGGTTGTCATAAAATAATTAAAACCTATTTGTTAAAAATGATCCTCATCTGACCAAAACAAATCTTCTCACGGTAAAAAAAAAAAAATGTTTGCTAATTCGTTCAAATATAATATTTATTATTTTGTCGAGAATGTCATCAAAATCAGAGAATTTACAAGATATTTTTTGATATTAGATATACATAATAGGTTTGTGAAAATTTGAACAAAAGAGTCCATTTTATTGACCTTAAAATGATAATGATAATGTACACTCTAGATCGTACTACGATTAGGTAACAGCTACACACTATAAAAAAATTGCTTCAACACACAACCATCCAAGCTACTATCCATCCTTCTACAATGCATCAACATGTTAACAAAATGCTTCTTCATGCTTACACAGGACATCCTTATCCACAACAATCCCGCTTCCTAACATATATAATGTATATTGTATGAATTCGAATAATTGAGATGTGCCATCTTGATTGTTTTGTGCTTTGTGCTTTGTGCTTTGTTTATAATGACTTCAATGCTTAAACAACAGCATCATGTGCAGAATGTTTGTGTGCTTTGCTGCTAACTGTTAATATACATCATCGCTTCTGCTGAAATTGCTTACAATGCTTCAGCTTCAGCTCTCCCCTTGGAATGTTGTGTAAGTATCTTATATTTACTTATTGTTAGTTCAGTGATGGAAGTAGAGTTTTGAGATTAGTATACAAATTTAATTCCTTCTTTAACCAACAACAGGTATTAGTTATGATGTAAAATATATTTGGAGGATTAGTAATGCTGTAAAACGTGAAAAAGAAATATAAAGAAATATAATTAACTTACAGTTTGGATTAAAATAAATATATATATATATATATATATAAACAGATCAAAAACCTTTTACGAACACACTCCTTCTGAAAACATATCAACAACAATTCCATAAAAAGAAGATATTTATATAACTTTTAGTACATTTAATTCCCAGTAAAGTTTTAAATACACAAATTATGGTATTTCTGTTTCAGAAGATTCAGAAGGGGTGTCGTTCTGTACCATGCTCCTAGGTACCTCGCCCCAGCGGCGGCTCCAGCGTACGCCTATGTAAAGAAAAGCCATGGAGAGCACGTGTTACACGGAAAAGTGGAACATCACCACAAACACACAGGCCACGTAGCTCACATACACAAACATACTGGTCACAAGAAACACAGCCACAAGCATCACGGAGGGCATGAACACTCTCATAAGCACCACGGCCATCACGAGCACGGGCATAAACACCACGGGGGTCACAAGCATTCCCACAAACACCACGGACACGGCGAGCATCACCACAAACACAAGGGAAGCGGGAAACACAAGCACAAGCATCACGGACACGGGAGTCATAAACACGACCACCACGCACACCACGACCACGGCCACAAACACCACGGACATCATGACCATGGTCATAAACACCATGGACATGGTGACCACAAGCATCACCACCACGGATCACACGGACACGACCACAAGCATCATGGGCACCATGAACATGGACACAAGCACCACGGAGAGGCGTCTCACCACCACAAACACCACGGATCCCACGGGCATGATCACAAACATCACGGACACCACGAACATGGACACAAACATCATGGGGGTCACAAACACGAACACAAACATCATGGAGAACACGGCCATGGACACAAACACCACGGCCATCATGATCACGGCCACAAACACCACGGCCACGGTGAACACGGCCACAAACATCACGGGCACCACGAACACGGACATAAACACCACGGACATTACTCACACAAACATGGACATGGACATCACGATCATGACGCAGCATATAGTAATCGCCACGATATTATTGAAAGGAAGTCCAGTGATGATAGCTTTTTTGACTCTGTTGAGGACATAATTAGCAAAAAATGAAAACTGTTATATATTTGGTTTATTTAGTTTGAGGATCCAGAATACATGTGAAGAAAGAACATAATCTGAACATACATAAATGTTTCTAAGATATTTTTCACAGTTCTGTACATTTTATGTATACCTGTTATGCTTTATATGTAAGTTTTATCGTGCATTTAGTTTTTAGAACATTCTGGATTTCAATTCACATCTACAACTTAGGGAAAGGCAAGGTAAATGTTTACTTATTTAAGTATAGATTAAATCAACAAAACAGTAATTGTGTATGTATGTGTGATATATGACGAAGTACACAGTAGGTAATACATTTGATGTAAATAATAAAACAAACAAAAGCTTGATTCAACTCATTATACTATTACAATGGGCACTTATTCTATCTCGACTTTTTCAGGCTGGGGAATCCGAGGGACAGCAAATACTTGAATTTCAATGAGACTGCTGTGAATCATCTAAGAAGAATCAAAAGAAAAGCAAGTCCATCACCAGGACAAATTATTCACCATCACAAACACTTTGGTTATGTAGATCATGTGCACAAGCATGCAGGACATGCTGATCACAAACATAAACATCATGGCCATGCAGAGCATAAACATAAACACCACGGGCATGCGAAACACAAGCATAAACATCATGGTCACGCGGCCCATAAACACAAACATAGTGGACATGCAGAACATTCCCATAAACATTCTGGACATGGAAAACATAAACATAAGCACCACGGTCATGCAGAACATAAACATAAACATCATGGACATGCTGAGCATGGCCATAAGCACCACGGTCATGCAGAACATGGACACAAGCACCATGGACATGCAGAACATTCTCACAAGCATCACGGAGAGGCTAAACATTCACATAAGCACGACGGACATGCAGAACATGGCCATAAGCATCACGGCCATGCAGAACATTCACATAAGCACCACGGACATGCTGAACATGGCCATAAGCATCACGGTCATGCAGAACATTCACATAAGCACCACGGACATGCTGAACATGGCCATACGCATCACGGTCATGCAGAACACTCACATAAGCACCACGGACATGCTGAACATGGCCATAAGCATCACGGTCATGCAGAACACTCACATAAGCACCACGGACATGCTGAACATGGCCATAAGCATCACGGTCATGCAGAACACTCCCATAAACATCATGGAGAGGCAGAACACTCACATAAGCACCATGGACATGCTGAACATAGCCATAAGCATCACGGTCATGCAGAACACTCACATAAACACCACGGACATGCTGAACATGGCCATAAGCATCACGGTCATGCAGAACACTCCCATAAACATCATGGAGAGGCAGAACACTCACATAAGCACCATGGACATTCTGAACATAGCCATAAGCATCACGGTCATGCAAAACATGAACACAAGCATCACGGAAAGGCTAAACACTCACATAAGCACCACGGACATGCTGAGCATGATCATAAGCATCACGGACATGCAGAGCACTCTCACAAACATCATGGAGAAAGTAAACATTCCCATAAACATCATGGAGAGGCGGAACACTCACATAAGCATCACGGACATGCTGAACATGGCCATAAGCACCACGGACATGCAGAACACTCCCACAAACATCATGGTCACGCTGAACACGAACATAAACACCATGGAGAAGGGAGACATTCACATAAACACGATGGTCATGCCGAACATGATCATAAACATCACGGACATGCTGAACATGAACATAAACATCACGGACATGCTGAACATGAGCATAAGCATCACGGACATGCAGAACACTCTCACAAACACCATGGCCATGCTGAGCATGGCCATAAGCACCACGGTCATAGCGAGCATTCCCATAAACATCATGGTCATGCTAAACACGAGCATAAACACCACGGGCATGCCGAACATTCCCATAGACATCATGGTGAAGCAAAGCATTCCCATAAACACCATGGACATGCTGAACATGGTCATAAACATCATGGCCATGCAGAGCACTCCCACAAACATCACGGAGAAGCTGAACATTCCCACAAACATCATGGAGAAGCAAAGCATTCCCATAAACACCATGGACATGCTGAACATGGCCATAAACATCATGGCCATGCAGAGCACTCCCACAAACATCACGGAGAAGCTGAACATTCCCACAAACATCATGGAGAAGCAAAGCATTCCCATAAACACCATGGACATGCTGAACATGGCCATAAACATCATGGCCATGCAGAGCACTCCCACAAACATCACGGAGAAGCTGAACATTCCCACAAACATCATGGAGAAGCAAAGCATTCCCATAAACACCATGGACATGCTGAACATGGTCATAAACATCATGGCCATGCAGAGCACTCCCATAAACATCACGGAGAAGCTGAACATTCCCACAAACATCATGGAGAAGCAAAGCATTCCCATAAACATCATGGCCATGCAGAGCACTCCCATAAACATCACGGAGAAGCTGAACATTCCCACAAACATCATGGAGAAGCAAAGCATTCCCATAAACACCATGGCCATGCAGAGCACTCCCACAAACATCACGGAGAAGCTCAACATTCTCACAAACATCATGGAGAAGCAAAGCATTCCCATAAACACCATGGACATGCTGAACATGGCCATAAACATCATGGCCACGCTGAGCATGATCATAAACATCACGGTGAAGCTGAACATTCCCATAAACATCATGGAGAAGCTGAGCATGATCATAAACACCATGGCAATGCCCAACATTCCCATAAACATCATGGGCATGCTGAACATGGTCATAAACATTCCACACCGGATGATGACCATCGTTGACCATAGTTTTTCTTTGCTGTCGACTGAGTTATTTAAAAAATTTACCTGAATCATTAATAATCCAACATATTTAAAATATGCAGTGTATGAGTCGACTAAATGCCCTATAGATGGTTGATGTATAGGTTTTGCTGAAATAGGCATGCATTTTTAATGTTGTAGAAACGATTGAATCGTTTGGTTTGGTAGAGAACGAAAATTGTGCGATCTTTCCCAAGATATTCTACTCAAGCTGTTCATGTTCTTTAATGCTGTACTTCAAATTTACATAAGATTATAACCTTCAAGGTAATAAAATGTTACCAATCGGAATATACAATTGACAAAGCATTCCATCCTTCTTTTTAAATGGGTCTTTTTTCATTGCTTTCGATAACCTCATAAATCTATAATATATATGATACAATAAAATAAATAACTTCTTGATCAGCATTGTACGTGTTATTAAATTTACGGAAAGTAAATAAAGATACGTCTTATAACACTTAAAACATATATTTACGCTTATACTGTTACTCACAAGACGGTAAATATACAAAAGATGGTAAGTGATGATCGATTTCGATTGGACACTCCAATCATCATCAGACCCAATAGGTGAATGACGTCATCTTTTGTATATTTACCGTCTTGTGAGTAACAGTATAAGCGTAAATATATGTTTTAAGTGTTATAATACGTATCTTTATTTACTTTCCGACAATAAAATACTAAGGGCAAAAGCTTCATGTTACCTGTAAAGTAAATCCACATTACAAAATAATCCTATAGCAAAATATTAAAGTTATGTTTATCATTAAGTAATCAATCCGTATTAGAAAATAAATACGAAATTTCTTTAATGAGTAAGAAGATTTTTTTTTCAGGCATATTATAAGCGAGGTTTATCGGTTTATAAATTAGATGTAATCTGGAGACACTGCATGAATTTTCATGCGTGAGAACCTTAAAGTTCTTCGCTAAATCCTCTTTTTTTCCTCTGTATTGAAACTGTGATTTCCCTGTTATTTTAGATTTATTTGTATCTACAACACTCCTCAGAATCCTCCTCTATAAGAATATATTTTGATAGAACAATGCAAAGTAAGATTATGTTTCAAGGTGTAGAATGATACTTTATTTCTGTTAACTGGTAATTTTATTGATTATTAATTTACCCACCGACTTTTTAAGTCCTTAAGATAGAAATTATGATCAAATCTTTTTACTACAAATATCAAAACTCTTCAACAAATTTAAATTGGATTTCTAACTTATTTTAAAATTATGAAACTTTCAAATTAAAATTTAAATAACATATCAGACATTCACTTGATATAACTAAGTATTACAAAAATTCAATTAATTAAACACAACACGGCTATGAACAGTTGAAGTCTTGAAGGTTGTGTTTTCAATAATCTTAGATACAACATTATAATAATAAATAGCTGTCTCTGTTCAGTTTTAATAAGAATTTTAGGCTTAAAACCTCTCTTTTGTGACTCAAGTTAAACCGTTTCACCTCTAACTAAGAATCATTTACTTGTTTTGTATTTGATGACAACGTGTTCGATATGTGTAATTGATTATTTTAGCCATAACGATTTATTTGGCCTTTACAGTTTAAAACAATAGTAATGTAAAGAAACACAAACACATACAAATGTAGTGTGTGTTTTGTGTGTGTGTTAATGTAATGAAATATGAAATTATATTGTTACCAATAAAGTTATTTGTACCATTAAAATGATATTGTTGTTATTTTTAATATGTTAACACTGATAAGGATTTTGGGCAGAAAGTGATGAGTTTTAGCTTTGGCTATGAGATATTGAAGAATAATCAAGTCAATTTAAGAAACCCTGAGCTCAATCATGACAAAATAAAGATTAAAATGAAATCAAATATATTCTAACAGAAAAGTATTTTTTTGTAGCTAATACTGTTGGTTAAAACATAGGCCACTTGGCCTTTGAGCTTGTAATGATAACAAAACTCATATCGATTTGTTAACACATGACTTGTTGATATTAAGATCGTCAATGCAGTTTGGGTACATTACTTCATTACCATGTGTCTCTGTATTCTGCAGATAGAATCTAACACAGTGTAAGATAGAAATATACAGAGATCTACAAAAATCTACAGATACAAATACGGATATCAAATATATCTACAGAAAGGAGGACTCTTAAATGTTTCATAGATACCCCTACGAGTGCTCAATGTGCCGTACATTAGCCGTGGAGCATGTTTCCAATATATGCTGTAAATTGTCCCATACACCGCAAGGTTGATTGATTCTATGGCATTGCGAATTCGTTCACGGAGCTCTTGAAGCGTTTGAGACATTGACGTTACATAAACTTTGTCTTTCACATAGCCCCATAGAAAATAATTACACACCGTAAGATCAGGAGATGTAAGGAGCCATTTGATAAGGGTCAAGTCATCGTCAAAATGTTTTTTTCTTGAATTAATCATTTTGAAAATGATACAAACATGTCCAAGTAAAATCCAAGACTGATTATTGAACAGCTGATTATAAAACTTGGAAACATGCTGTTTAAGCACATGTTTCAAATATTAATGTGGGACAATAATTGGGTGAGGTACATGCACGATTACTAGAAAAATACCCGGTATGGATCATAAACATAAACACAATGACGTTATTGGCCCGAATCCTATAATAGCATTGAACATATGTTTTAGCAGTTGCATTTAACCAATGTTAAATAATGTTAATTTTCGGGCCAAAAACGTCATTTGTTGATGTTTATGATCCATACAGGTATTTTTCTAGTAATCGTGGGTACATGTCATTAAAACCTGATGATTCTTTTATAAACCCCTGTATATAAAAAAATATGAAATCAAATGAAAATGTCAAAGACATGGGTCTAGACTTTCATTTTCATTACTACTGAGTTTTAGGGGATTACAATGGTACAGACCGTTAAAGAGAAAGAAGAAATGCAAACTGCGGTGGATGATGAAGTTAAGTTTTTCGAGATCCTATTGCAATTTTATTTAGCCTAATTATGTTCAAAACAGTTTATAATCCCTGAGTACAGTTAGTTAAGCCCTGTTTCAGTATTAAATTAATTTTGTGATGTTATCCTACAAGGACAGTACACAACAGTCACGATTTATGGTAAATATGAATAAGACATGTTTTTAAGTAGAAGTACCTCCCAGATTAAGAAAAACGTTATCCCCACCAAAGAGCTGCATACTTTTCTCCTATACTGGCGAATCTACAGCCTAGGGATCTCAACAAGTGAGTTACAGTATTATTGCATGTATAAAATCCATTGGCTATTGACAATATTTGAACCTCAGCTACAAGTCCTCTAGAACCACTACTGCCATAGTTAGTCTGTGCGTTTTGGTGTCCAGCGCTATTGTAACTAAGAAACAACAACCACTGAGTGCATTAAATAAACGAATCAATGATGTTAAACAACTAAAAGACCTATCATAGTCACAATTTTATGGGTTGGTTAGACAATCCAAAACCAAAAATAAATGGTATGTTGTTTCCTTACTACCTCGGACAGTAATTCTTTTGAAGTAAATATAGGACTTAAAAGCACTTGAGTGTATAGCAATTAAAAGGACTGTAGGGCAAAAACGGGGCTTTTTCCAGCCTTGTGACCTAGTCCAATCGATTACTCGTTGTCAAATACCATGTAGTAAACCAAAAGAATTAAAAATCCTCGACTGAAAATATAAGGTTGTCCGTACACGCGCTTGTTTTAGAATATAGGATATTGAAATTATTTTTTTTTTACCGATTCTCTATTCTTTTCGGACAACAACATTTGAAACATTGAATATAACAGATTTGAAAATATTGTATAGAATAGAATATTAATTTACAAGTAATTTCAAAAGTGTAGTGGTCTTACACATTATCAATTTAGGTTTTGATAATGCAAAGTTTGACACACAAATACCCAGTTTATATTCATTTAGTTTGCCTAGTTGGTCCATTCAACTGCGCCTGCACTGATCAAGTCAATATTTCACTACAGTTTTGTAGAGCGTGGGTCGAACTTTCAACTGCAGGATCAACTAATGTAGAAATCTACTGTGGTCTGTGATATTTAGTTCAATTTACCCTTTAGTATAAAATCACAAAATTAGTACCACAACAATACTTAACCTGTGTTGAAGCAACTAAATTGTGTGCAGCCTTAACGAAATTACATTTAATTAGTAAATCCCCCAAAAATGAACCTTACCCATTGCTGTATCTTTTACTTGACTTGAATATATGACTTTTAAGTTAACTATTTATGCTTTTAAAGCATCTTATATCAAAGCTCTGCTGGTAAACTAATTAAGTGTGCTTTACTTTACAAAATGAGCTTCTAGGAAATAACTAGTTATACGGTCCGTTCCCGTCAATTTAGTGGAGCGAACGACGAAATAGGCAAATTATCTTCTTCCTAGATAAAATTAGGTATTTAAAAAAATAAGTACAGTATTATAACATAACCACTTAAGAACACTTTTAATGATCAATACATTACCTTATCATACGAGAACCTGATGTCCCCTTTACTGCTCTTTGTATACTTGTCACTCTAGTCTATTATCAAAAATTGCCCAATCAGCAAGCCCATAATAGCTTACTCTTTACAACGCTAGACAGGATGAGCCAAAAATCAATTTTCCCAGGTCCACCACAGTTTGATCTAAAGTACACACTTGGCTGAGATGTACAGAAATCCATAGGCAAATTTGAGTGGGAATTGCCTTCGTGCACATTATACTCAATTTGATTATTTAAAGAAAACAGTAACTTATGAAGAATGTACAATAGACATTTGAACAATGTTCAACACTATCCAAAAATGTACTAAAATGTAAATTAGAAAATCTTTAAGGTTATTTTCATTGTGAGAAAATTTGTATATAAACTCAGCTGCAGTACATATGCTAACATTACATATGCCAGCAGAAGTCCAAAGATTATTCCTAAGTATCCCACTACCAGTACAACTTTTGTCAGTCCTCTGATGTTGCGATAGCAGCAGTCATGTTCTTGTTATTTGC